TCTCACTTTTCAGTTTGATGTTGACATTTGTCTCAGAACTTTGACTCTTGATCTTTTTTCGTAAATTTTACATAATTTTTTTCACTATTCAGTATATGGAGGAAAACCGCGAGTTTTGTTTTTTTTTTTGAAGACTCCACAATTTTTATCACCCGTGTAGCTGTAAAAACTCCCATTACACTGATTAAGGACCACATATTTCGGAAACCACTTTTTCTACTGTAAAGCTTTTAGGAGAGCAGGATTTCGTTTCGCGGAATCACATCCGCGTTCATCAGTCGCGTAGCCAGAAATTTTAAAAGGAGGTCTTCGGTGAAAACTGATTGTCCGGGGCCTTTCGGTAAAAATATTCTGAAAATCACGAAAATTAAATTTTTGGGTAGGATTTTTCAGTCATGGAGGTGGGGGTTTTTCCGACTAAAAACCCCCTGGAACTCTCTCTCCCTATAGCCACGCAACTTTCCTCGGGGGATTTTCACCGGAAAACAGGACAATACTGCTAGAAACGGGTCGATTATCGAATTGTTAATCGTTATCGAATGAACTCGATCGATAACTCCCTATCTTCCTAATGCTATATATCGATTAGGGTCATTCGATAGCGGTTCGACAATCGAGCGGCAGATTATGAGAAGTAACGGCGATAACGAAGCGAGCACTTCATAACTCAGTTACGACGCTTTGAATATGCACAAAGGCCTCTAAGTAGAAACAGCGGGTTTACTCACGTATTCCTGGTCAACGCTCGCTCCCAGACTCAAGTGGGTGCATATTTTAAAAACCCACAATCGACACTTCCTCCCGGTTGAAAAGCTTGCAAATAACAGACCAGACAATGGCTCAATCAATGGCAGCAACTGGTCCCCGCGCCACAACCACNCCCCCCCCCCCCCGCCCCTATCCACGCTCCGCCGGAGCTCCAGCGAGCTCACGTGGCATTTCTATCCAAAGTTTTGACAGTCGCTGGTGGATTTTCTCGACACTCAGTGGACCCGAATCGAAAATTGAAGGCGTTAAAAAATCAAAGAAAAGAAAGAAATGAGCTCCGGAAAAATCTCGAGATCCGAAAGTCGTAACTGAAAGAATGAGCCTGTTGTAAATTTCAGCTACACTGAAAAAAATAGTTCTGTTCATAGGGCTCTTGCTTTTTCTTTGTTACAGCTACAGAAGTTTCCGTTATGAGGACAGAGGACTCTGTGCTCACGACCAAAGTTCTGTTCCAACGACAGAAAATTTCTTTGAGTATAACAAAGGAAGTGCGGGAGACCTGTTATGTGAACAGAAGGTTCTGTCATCAGTACTGACTATTTTTTACGCGTGGAGCGAAAGAGGAGTCATTTTTCATTAAACTTGGCTCAAAAATCACGATGAGCGCATGAGGAAAGCCTGAAATACACTCCTCACTTCATAATCTGCGTAAAAAATGTGCGATTTTTTAAGTTTTCCGCTTCAAAAATGATTATCCGGTATAGATGAACATTTCGTTAGAAGAGCAGTCGTTTCATCCAACCCTTAAGTGCACTAGGATACTACGCGATATTAAATATGGCCGATGCCAACCCGCCAAAACACACACGACCAGACGAAATGTTATCAACCAGCGTGTTTATATTTACATTTTACTTGCGTTGATAAAGACTAAGGTGATTCCTCGCGGTTTGCGGGCGGAAGCGTCAGCCATATTGAAAATTTTGTAGCATCCTTGTACGCAAGGGATGGTACGACTCCTCATACGAAATGTTCATCTGTGTTGTAGTATCGTTTTTGAAGCGGGAAGCTTAAAAACGCATATTTCTTACACAGATTGTGAAGTTAGGAGTGTATTTCAGACTTTCCTGATGTGCTCAGCGTGATTTTTCTAAAAAAATAAATAAATAAATAAATAAATAAATAAAACCCTCTTAATGCTCTAGCTGAAGTTTGCAACAGGCCCATTGATGTCACACCGCCCACACCGGGCTCATAGATACAGAACTTTCGGGTGCAGGAACAGTATTTTCAGTCACTGAGATGAGTACGGAGGGTACGTCTCGGTATGTCAGAGACCTCTAGATAGGAAGAGAAAGGGAATATTGTTAAATACACCTTTGAGAGTAATGTATCTTATGAAAGTCTTAAAAAAGAATATTGATTAGACGCGGCATAAGGTCGGAGGCTAAGGTTAAAGACCGCGAGTCACTCTCAATACGATCAAAATAAATTGGTTGGAAAAATATAGGAGAGTGAATGAACTACGAGAGAAATTACATTCCGACGTAGTCCATCCTTCAAACTTCATCCTCCAGTTAAATCTCCGGCCGCGATTCAGCGAAAATCTCATTAAAGAATTATGATTCCGATTAAGTTCCATTCATTGAAATAAGCATGGAATTTTGACAATCGTCACAATCGAAAATTGAGATGATTTTATTTATTTGATTCATGTTTTTTTTTACATGAGATAATCAATTCATGACCTACTAGTCACTGCAAGTTTAACAATATTTTGTTTAAGACATTTCCATCTCCTGGTGTACTTTTTTTCTCAGTGATTTCTATTCGATGAAGTCACAATATCTTGTGCGTTCTATATTTCAGACATATCTAGTGTCGAAACCAAACCTCGCACACGAAGATTTCCACTGTGCGCCTTCGCAACGCGGCACTCTTTTTGGCTAACAAGTCCCATTCGAAAATTAATGCAATTCATCAGTGCTCTTCTTGTTTAATGAAATAATCGTATAGTCTGTCGCGGCAAGTTTTAGTTTTAAATCAAAGAAAATCCGAGCTGCGCTTTGTCGCCCTACGAATTGGTATACCGCTCTCCATAAAGAGACGTTGTGAGATGAGAATTGGACCGAGCTTATCAGAAAGGAAACTACATAAAGTTGAAACTGAGAAAAAGAGGTTTGAAATTTTATTCCTCCATAAGACTCAATGTAGAAAGTAAACTTTAAGCCCGCTTTTCACAAACTAATATTTTTTTTCGACTTTGAACTTTTGGCAGAAGAAAATATACAACTAGAGTAACTCAAAAACATTCTTAACTCAATTTTTCGAAAATGTGGGTTGGCTCCTTTCTGATAGAACTTGGTCCAGTTATCATATAGGCACAGTATGAGTGCTGACACTCCCTTCCCCACAGAATTGTTACATTGAATGAGGCCATTAAATCCACTACCGAGGGATAAATTTTAGTCCATTACCAAGGAATAATTTTTGGGAGGGGGAAGGGGGCTTTGCAAAAAAGCTTGTGTTCCCCAGACCTCGCAATCCACCAGGAAACTCCCAATTCATTTTAGGGACGAATTATGAAAAAAATAATACTCTGTGCGACTCAATATAAGGTTTATTCTTTGTTGATACTTATGATTTTGTGTACATTTGCGACCGATGAAACAAAGAGTAATTAATTATGAACAAAAACTCGATTTTTGACAATGTCCCTCCTCGTGAAGTGACAAAGGAGGCATGGCTTTCTTCTTAATTTTGTTTCTAATTGCTTTTTTTCTGGCGTTAACGGGAATCATTGGAAGAAGGGTGGGCCACACAATTATATGAAAGCCTAAGGTTAAATCTTTAATTTGATTATTTCAATGAACTCTGCGTTGGGTTCTGAAAATCTCTGCGCCCTTTTTTGAGAGAATCTTTTACCTCGCTTTATGAGTGTGAACGCCTCCAAATTAAGCTTCAACATGAAGCATACCACTAGCGAACACCTGAACCTTAACCTACAACAATCCTCTGAGATTTTGGTTTATTCTTATGATCGCCAACGTGAATTTAAAATTAAAGCTGTCGTCCTTTGACTTTAAAACAGAGAGAACGTAAAATTAAATTAAATTAAAAAAGGGAAATTCAAAAATCATTTTATTGCCAACCCCCTTCAAATATAGAGATGGCTAGTCCATTAGAACCAATTCTCAACTAAGCGTAGAAAGGAGAGAGAAATTAACACGGAGAAAAAACTTCGTGCGTGGGACCCAAAGTAGAGGCCATATAATGGATCTCTGAAGTTTTCGAATCTGAATTACTCCGGTAAATACCGAACTACCTCAGATGTCTGACTCAAACTTTAGTAGCTGGACCTCAAGTTTTCGAATGCGTAATCCGAAAACTTCAGAGATCCATATGACCTCAAGTTCGGGTCCCACGCATGAAGTTTTTTCTCCTTGAATAAGTAGCATTATTTAGCAGTAGTGTATTTTTCTCTTATTCTGCTCATTCCCTTGGGGATGGTAGGCCTAATTGAGTAGTTTTTATTTACGTAAATAATCACGTTTGATATTTTTGATAACAGCACGGGAAAAAAACCGTTAAAGGTTTTCCCTTGAAATTGTCATACTACCCCAATTTGTTGGATGATATGGGCATTTCCAAATAACTGTGGTAGCACCGCGACATTTGGGTTGGTGACCTAATTTATTGGGGTACTTTACAATTAATTTGAGATGCCTAGATCATCCAACAACATACATCTTTTATCCATGAGCATTTGAATTACGTTTTGCAATAAAGAACCATTCACTCTCTCTGGCTCTTCTGTAAAATCACCTTTCTACATATGAAAACCAATGGCATATATGTAGTTTCTAAAATGAGCCAGAAATAGTGGTTCCTTATTGCAAAATGTGGTCCATTTATAAAAAATACGCCAACGATTTTAAATTGTCTCTTACGTTTTCGGAAGTAAATTAAGTACAAGCATGTCAAGCTATGAAGAGGAATGGCAAAAGAGTAAATCGTCACTTTGTCACGTAACCTGACATTACTCCCGGATTGGGCCGGAGCATAAAATGAATAAAAATAAGTGTAATTTCACTTTGCGAAGAATTAAATAAAATGGAAAAGCTGGAGAAATTCACGGGGGATGATCAAAGGGCGACGGAAGCGTGGGGCTGAGCGGGATTTCGCACATTTCAGATCTGCAGTGACGTTTGTGATTTATCACATATCAGCCGTGCATACATGGCGAGTAATTAAATTACGTGGAATGAGCCCCGTGTATTTCCGTGTTTCAGGTCAAAAATACGAGCCCGTGATAATTGAATCCGACTACAGGACGCATATGAAACTGATCGTCAAGTCCGTGTCGGCTAGTGATTACGGCAACTACAAATGTGTCTCGAAAAATTCCCTCGGCGACACCGACGGTGCAATCAAAGTTTACCGTGAGTATAACCATTTTTTTCAGCCTAATACTTTCATTTCTTGTTCGCATCCACAACAGCTGGCCGATTATTGAAATTGATAGACAAGGCTATAGACAAAGAAGACAAAAGGGATATGGAGAGATCCTATTGGCGGGAGCGGGTGGTTGCAATGGACAATAATGCAGTAGTATATTGGAGTTTTTTAGCCAACGTGCGTTAAAAATTCAGCATAAAGCTGAAAATCTCAATACATCTTTATGCTGAATTTTTAAAGCACGTTGGCTGAAAAAACTCCAACATACTGTCGTACGAGTGCGTCTACCGCAATCAGTTTGTGTTTGAATAATGCAGTATAGGTAATAGACTAACTAACGGCAACCCACGAGAAATCCGACATTTAGTAGATCATTCTTTCCCTTAGTCCATAGGAACCACACATTTCAACCAATAGGATCGCTCCATACTCCCTATGTCCTTTTTGTCTATCGTTTTGTCTATCAATTTTAATACATAATAAGCCCGCAGTTCTTATCTTGGGCCAATGTGCCTGATATATAGTTTGGTGCATACGCAACAGTCTTCAACAGAATAAAGTTCTCTTCATGGTGTTAAAACTTTGTGTTGGTTAAAAAATAAAGTCTGAGTAGAAATCGTGAAACACCGCATTGGATATACGTGATTTTGCTCTTTCGTCATAGATACTAATTTGAATACCACTAAATCTATCTTTCCTGGAGTGCTCAGTCGTTGTTTAAGCGCAACGCTCACAATTAGATTACGGCAACGGGTTACAGCCGCGTTCATTCAAAACTCCTTCATCTCGTTGGGTATGCAATATGATCTCCGAAGAGTTGATATAGTTGCTCGAGTTAGGTTTCAACGGCGCGCAATGTGACGTAACGTGTCGGTGCGGTTAGTACGGTTGTTTCTTATCGAATTCGGTACACATCCCGACCTCTAATCGGATCAAATTGCTGATCTACAAAAATATACATTTAATATACTTCGTGAGGTAACAATTTTCTCCATCCAGGGATTTATCTTATGCTGTCTACAAGGATTGTTTATTTAGGACTTAAAGTCAATCTCTAAACTTACTCTTGGTGCTACCTGTAGATTTTCAATTCAAGTTTTATAGTGCACCAGAGGCAACGCCCCCTTGAGGTGTTTCGCGCTTCAAGTGTTTATCTAAAGGGTAAAAATGAGTACATATATGCAAAAACAAAGTAAAAAACGTGCTATAAAAACAACGGTTCGTGACAATGGGTCAGTTGCGCTGGTCGCAGAACTGTTTTGATGCTCGAGTCTTGGAGATCAGCAAAAAATAATAAGATCTGTCAAAACAGCAACTGTCTACGCTTAATAATTCAATAATAACCGAGATAACACGCTTTGGAAAATTCGGTTTATGATGTCATCCACCGCGGTAGTGACACCCTTGGTTTCTTCCACCTTAGTTTCATCAGTGGTGTGACACACATTATTTCCACTGCTTATTAACCGTGAAATTTTGATGAAAACAAGGTAGAGAAAACCAAGGGTGTCCCTACCGTGGTGGATGACGTCGAAAACCCTACTTTTCAAAAGGCGATATCTCTGTTAATATTGAACGCAGAAAGTTGCCATTTGGACAGATCTCATCATTTTTTGCTAGTCTACACGAATTAAACATTAAAACACGATGCTGTGACCAGCGCAACTCACCCACTTTAATAATAGATCATTCCGAAAAATAAGAGTTCGTAGGTTGGCTGCCCTTTTGGGCCCCAAGAGTTCCATGCCCTAACCTCCAAAATTACCGACATGTCCATACCCTCCCGTGTGTGCACCCTGGTTTATGCGAGATTTTCATCCGCAGTCTGGTGCTGCACCCGCAGTGTTGCCATTTTTCGCGATAAATTGCTCACACTTCCCCAAGACCAAAGGGTAATCTGGTGACTTTAAATATACCAATTTACAACTCTGGCGCGGATGCCCCATGCCTGGTGCGTGGTGTCCTCCCCGTCACGCGGGCGATGCCACTTCCCTGAACCGCGCCGTGGTGCATAATTGCAGGTTGACTCTAATGCGATTCGAAGTCACTCGTTTAAATTAAGCCCGGATCAAAGCGGCCGTCGGAGTACCGCAGTGAAACTCATAGCATTATCTCGATAATTATCCGGTGACGATTGTCACAATCCATAAGCACGGAGACGAGATTACCAGCGCACCCCACGGAAGATCCACCGCGGGGGCGAACTGCGGCTCCAGGGTCAAAAAAGGACCGCATCTGCCGGGGGGGGGCTCCGATAATGCGTGCGTCCGGTCCAGTGCTCTCGAGTGTTCGAGGAACAAGTCTAGTGGATCGATGGCCAAAGTGCGAAGCAACGTACTTCTAATGCGTTGTTCCAAAATTTCCGCTCCAGAATACGCTGCAAACACAATAGAAAAGTCAAAGAAAATTTCAAGAGAATACGTTGATTATTCTTTTTTAAAAAAAAATACATGTTTTATCGCAGCGAGGTTGGCAACATTCAAATGCTTATACGGCGTTTTTCTTAAAACACTTCAGGGGGGTGCGGTGCACTCGAAGAGGGAAGAAATGCATTGCTCCCCTACTCACCTAAATCAATCAGTGCAAATAACCGAATGACTCAATCATAAGTTCATGCTTCCGCCGAGTTTTTGATGATTCATTCTGGCAATTGATAAGCTAATAAAAAGTGCATTAGTCCACCCTTGTAAAATTGGAAAAAAGCACTCATATTCGAAGCAGATCATAATTGATTTCAGAGTCAAGTGGCATTAGAAAATTATATAAATCTATCATACCCAGAATGCATTGCAAAAAATCTGAAGTTTCGCCTTGAGCAGAGGGAAAATTAGCAAAATTTTCAATTAGAAATGCCCAAAAGTAAATGGTGAAAAAACAGCTCACGATTGGAGATTTTGCAACGTTGAAACGTAGTTACCTTCTTCCATCTGAGAAACTAAGAAGTACGCGTGGTCACGGCGAGGAAAAATCGTCGTTCCCCAGACGAAGGAACGTAACTACATTCCAAGGTTGCAAAATTGACCCAAAGAATTCAATTTTTTACAAAAGCCCACCTGTGCAATTTTCGTTCAAAATATTCCTTATTTCTGCATGAAATCCGGGGAAAAATTGAAGAAATTTTCAGTAATAAATGTCCAAGATTTTCCCTGTAAAAATGCGATTTACGAGGAGAAATTAGGCAACGTCGAAATGCAGTTACGCTCTCTCGCAAAAGAAAACGACGAAATGGAAAATAAATACTCGCAAGTGGAATTTGTGCGGGGGACGGAGTAGCAGAACGGTTGATACGATAACGGCACGAGAGCTCAAGTTGTGTACCGAAGTCATTCACCAGGGAGGGGGGAGGGGATTCGCCGGAGGGGGAGGGGGGCTAAGGGGCACGGACGCAACACGAGAGACTCCGGGGGTGGTTGAGAGTGGAAAGCCGTCAGCTTTGATCGAATTTCACGAGCAGTAAATTAAAGTAATGATAATCCTTACTTGCTCCTGATGTGACTTGTGCTCGGGCGTCCCCGGGACGGGCGTTTGAGCGTGGGCTCCGGGTAGCCCGGGAACACGTGGCCGGCGGGGCTTACGCTGCACCGCGGGTTGCGGCTCTCCCACGCCCGGGCGCCCGACTCATCGTCACCGACCGGAATAAAATATAATCTTTGAAAGAGGAGCTTACACGTTTATGTTTAGTCAGCGTGTATTATTCAGGAAGTTTAAAATTCTTCTCTC